TCCTCCTCGTCTGGGTAGAGGTCACCGAGGAGGTCTTCAAGTCTGGTCCTCTCGAAGTCTGTGAGCTCATCCCCTTCGAACTCGGTGTCAGCGCTTTCTTCACCCTCATCCACAGACCTGCTCCTTTGTCCTCTGCCTCTGTCGGTACTTGACTCGCCTTGGACTGGAGACTGGTTGAAGAGACCTGGTAGGGGTGAGTCTCCTCTGTCGAGGAGTACGCCCCGGGTATCGGTGATGTCGACGGAGTCAACTGACTCTGCGGTGGCGCTTCTGTAGGAGTTGGTGCTCGACTCTGAGGATCGCAAGCTGGACCACGACGATCCGTATAGGGACCCTCCAGGTCCTCTGGGTGTGATGGGTCTGCCATCGTGTAGGGTTTGCTGAGATGCCACGGGAATGACGATTACCAGCGGGGGGTATGCGGGTGTGCTGGGCACGTAATGGAAGGGTAGTTGAGCGCGAACCCTCCTCTGTTGTCGGCAACAGCGGTGTAGTTGGTACAAAGAAATGGACAAGAAAAAGAGTATAAAAATTGTGGAGATTGTGGGAATGACTTCAGACCAGGGCATCTGTGCGTGAATCTATTCTTCGTACAGCCCAACGGTTATGATTAACCATGCAACTGTTAGGACGGGATAGAGTTCACTGGTCGTAATCAGCACGATGATGGCTGAGATAGCAACCGCTTGAACGATGACCGTGATTGGCGTCAGTTTGAAAGGAAAGGGTGGTTTAAAGTCGAATGATCCCAATGTACAGTCCTACAAGGTAGGCCATGAGTAGGGGGGCCGGGATGTAGAATCGACACAGGGCGATGGTGATTGCCACTCTCGTCAATGCTGAGGTTAACGGGTCTTGCAATAGGAAAGGCAGAACCCAAAGGGTAACTGCAGCGAGTATGAGGACAGGATAGATGTTGGGCAATGCACGACGTTGAGCAACGTAAGTCAAGCTTCGGCTAAATGTTAGCCACTAACTCTCAAAACTTAGATCAACTAGGGATCACCACTCGCACTTCGGTGGATGATACGATAGAGGTCAAAGTCTTGTAGAACAAGTGTAGCAGAGGCAAATAGTCGCAGAGCGGGGAGCTTTGAGTTAGGTAGATTAAACCTTAGCCGAAGCTGGGGTTTAGGCCAGCTGAGGCTCTACTTAAATACACGAGGGTAGACTAATAATAGTACTGTGGGAAACCATCCGTTGCGATCGCATATGAGTAATTGAGCTGAGTAAAACGAAGAAAAATGAATAAACCATAACAAGAGTTTTGCGAGCAGGTCAAAGAACTTGGTAAAGACAAAGAGCCCTTGGTGCCCCGAGCAAACTCTCCTGATTGGGATGAGGACAAGCTTGAAGGTGATGTGGAAGGTGAAGAACTGTGATATTTAAATGGCATTCTGCAAAATTACAAGCTAGTATTACATATCATTGTAATTATTCATTTCTGTGTTTTACAGCGAGAATCTCAGCAACCAGATAGCACCTTTTCTCCTCACCACTTCCTTCAATTATAGTCTCCATGTCTTGATTGTCTAAACCTGTATCCTGTTCCTCCTGTAGTCGGTCATGAATATGTTGAAACTGGGCACCACTGCTACCTCCTTCCACATCAATCACAAGATTGTGAAGAATGATTGCAATCGTAATCCATCGGCAGGCAGCAACATGATCTTTATTGCTGTTGATGTTGACATGTAATCCTCGTAAGCACTGCCAGCGACCCTTGAGTGCACCCATACAATGTTCTGATCGCACATGGAGGCCAGAAAGATATTGGTCAAAGAGTGTGTTTTCAGGAAGAAGAGCAGCAGGTTTTTTGTGGACTGCAATCATCCGAGGAGTGATGGTATAAGCAGAATCCCCTCACACAAATTCATCATTCTTGAAAAACCAATCTGCATGTTTGTAGGCAGCTGTATGAGCAAATGCAGCTGCATCATGGGCAGATCCTGTCATTCCATGGGCATAGTCCACAATCCTCAGATTGGAAGGAACATTGCCAATCTATCAATCAAACAAAATCAGCTTGGAGATATTCTGGATATGACTTCAAACTATACCTGTGCATTTAGGCCATAATTGGCTTTCTGGGTATAGTAGGCATCACCATTCTGTCCAGGTTTGGAATAGAGAACAACAATGGTCCCATCATACATCACCCAGCCTTCACGCCATGTCCCTCGAAAGCCCAAGTGATTATCCATCCACTGTTTCTCCTGCTCCTTTTCCTCCTCTGTCAATGGCCAAACAAAGAGATCATGGAGAGACTCTATGGCATCAAAGCATCGCTCTGTGAAGAGCTCCACACTGCCTTCAGAGCAACCACCAATACATGCAATGTCCTCACATGATGCCCCATTGCCATACTGCCCCATTCAAAAAAGTGTAACAGCTAGCTGTGTTTCAACAGGGGTCTGAGCATTGTTGGAGTTGTTCCGAAACACAGGATGATCTTTGATGAGACTGAGAAGGACCTGGAATACACCTGGAGAGACACGCAGCATGTTGATAAAGCGATCATGATCAGAGGGATTCTGTGCATAATCAAATGCAAGGTGAAGATTGCCGGATTTGAGAACAGGGGGGGGGAGAGCGTAGGTAGCATGTATTTTTAATACACTGTAGCATTAGAATATCCCACCGCAAGAGGAGCAGTTGCTCTTCAAAGTGCAGGAGATCATCATCAGAGTCACTGCCAGAACTATTGCTGGATTCATCTGAGTCTTGATCATGGTCAGATAATTTCATCATGTTTCGGATGATCATATGTAGCATATAGCTGTGTGTGACAAGAGAATGATAGGTCTTACGAGCCATGATGAAAGAGAAATGCAAGGGAGATGGTATTATCACACGATAGATGTGTGACTACTGAATTAGGAATTGTGACTTTATGTAAGTGAACGAGAATGCCGTTCTAGGACTCGTTCACTCAACTTTGAGCTCCCCTATTATAACCCTTCTCTTCTCCTGCACGCAGTCGCTTGGCTGAAAATGGTGCTGATACCAATGCCTCCGAGTCTCAGTCTCGCTATGCTAAAGTAAGAGAGCCAAAATACGGTTATTCAATGAGACAATGATAATTCCTCTCGTAATATCCAATCCACACAGTTTCCTCCATCCTGTACCATGACCAGAAATATTCCATTCCCAAATAGTCAGCCTGTTGACGATAGCTGGTAGCAGTCATGGTTCGACTCCGTCTGTTGCCCTGTGTGAGTCCGATGCATCTTTTTGCAGCAAGGCAGTCTATGCTTCAGTTTCATTAATCGCATCCACATTCATATGAACTGAATGAATAAATATTTGGAATAGCCACACTGAGCATTGGTGTTTAGGTAAGATCTACACGAGCATGAGGACTTTATTTACACATTACCAAGCAATCTTGAGAATGACACAGTTATCTGGGAATTTTCCGATTGTCATTCATCCCTGAATTTTACGTGGTAGTGCTAAAAAATTACTAGACTATGGCTATGAGATGGAAACAAATTATCAAGTTGATGCGTCTGTCACATAATCACATGGTATGCATTCAACTTCTGTTTTGAGAAACCCCATCTTCTCTTCGCTCGTCCATGTTGCTTCACCTATGAAACTCGATTTTGTGCCACCGGAATTATGGAGAGACCTACAGCAAAGACAGAGGAAGGAAGGAGGTAGAGAGATGCGTGAGTAGGATGCAAGGAGTGGCGCTGGTGAGCATCACCCTTTTTCCTCTCATCCATTGCTCTGAAACTGGCGTGGTGTCCTTCAGCTCTCGAGGCCTGAGGGTCGCTATATTGCTTGGGGACTGATGCCTCCATGGTCCTCCTACCCTGTGAAACAACAACATGTTCAATGGCATTGGCGCGCTGTGGACAGGATAACGGTGAGTCGTCAGGCTCAGCTATTATTGTTTTCCTTCTTGCTGTGCTTCTAGTGACGTATCACACTCTCCACTTCATGCACCGTGTACTAATGTCATTCTCCTTCAGCCCAACTCCGACTGTAGATGCCGCATCATGGTCGTATCATCATATCTACACCACCATGCACAGAAAACGATGCATGATACACAAGATGAGCATCAGTTGACCCTCCAGTGAACTGTATCCCTATATCTTATCCAGCCTCCACTTGCCGGAGATGCTGCTAGTACACCGTCCATCTTTCTCTCGCTTCCTCATCTGAGCCACCACCAACTACCAGATCCACCATACCAGATAATGCCATACTCGCCGCCTTCTCCCGTTTGCATCCTGCCGGCCCACGATCCCCTCAACACCTAATACAGCCATGCAGTCTTTCAACAAACTGTGGCTCGCTCTAGCTATGAACCCTTCCTGTGGGATGAGGCGCCTGGGCACATACTTGGTGATGCGGCAATACAAGTGAGCCGCATTTTTTTCTCACTGCAAGTTCTCCACTGATTCTCCCCGAGTTTTGAGGAAACGCTGAGCTTCATTTGCTGTGAATGGTGAGCCATCATTCACTTGAGGGGTTTTCATTCTGCTTCACCCCACTTATTGGCCAGTTCTTCTTGTGTGGCCTTTGATCCTATCAATGTGTGAGGATTAACCGGTTGCTAAAGAGAGTTTCGACTTTGAAGTGGAGCTCGTCTGTGCTACGTCGACCGTTGTATTTTGTTGCATTTTCACGACTTGTATGATCGGATCTCTGCATGGCCAGGTTCGCCTATCTTCGATTCAGACCCTACAAGCTAGCTAATAGTAGCTAATGCGCCTCCAGCGATACCCATGAGCATTACAGGCTCTGTATCATTTTATTATATGTATATATTGATTCACAGATAACACCAACCAACCAGATTACATGCAGATATGAGGTGAATGTAATAACGGGTCCTATTGTCTCTGCTCTAATCCCAGAATTACCATTGCCTAGGTGACTTCAATTATACAATGAGATTTTCTACGTTCGAGACTTTCTTGTGTGTTGAGATTCAGACCTGTGTATAATCGGAGAAGAGGAAAAAGTATCTTCTTGTGCCGCAGTACTACAATACGGAGTCAAACCATAATTTCCTCCTAACTTGTGATGTCTTCTACGAATATAAGTTGGAGACGATCTGCCATTGATCTATCGTAGCGTGAAGTATGTGCCATGGCAAGAACTGAAAGGAGAGATGGTAATGAGGACTCAGACCCAGCGAAAAGTGCCTCGAAGGAGATTGAAGACAATCAATTAGACGTATCTACTTCGACGTGCCTTGACCATTCTGCCATTTGTATCGCTTCTTTGTAACCACATCGAAGGATTTATAAGTAGTTCAAATGAATATATTTTGCTTCGACTGGCATATATGGTCCCAAATTTCTTCGACCCAGAATATATCAAATCATATCGAAGGAGAAAAATTACATATCATTTTGAGCTATCTAAGTACATCTAATGTCATCTATGTAATACCCCAAGGCACTATATATGTCATACAGCCGCCACCTAGATAGCGTAGTAGTCAATGAAAGTCATCTGAATTTAATTTATAGGCTAATATGCACCTGTTCTTTGGCTGCTTTTGCTGCCGCTGATGCATCGACCCATTTATATACGATGCAGAGATGAGATCAGAAAGTCCTGGCATTTGGTAAAGCACTTACTTGGTATTCTGCTGATTGCAACATCGTAAGGGACTTCCAGTATGGCTGGAACTCGGTTTTCCAGTTGCCAGCAGGGTTCCGCTTCATCCAATCTTCTTTGCATAGTGCTCTGTTGAATGCATAAATATAGATAAATGACATTGCTGCGAAGAATGTACCGTGCTGTTGGCCCATCTGATTTTTTCTTCCTGGGTGCCTGTGAGTCCAATGTGTCGGTTCCAGGGTTTGCGACAGGTTCTGTTGGCATTACTGATGGTGGATGAGGTGGTTCCTGAGATGGCTCGGAGCTTTGAGACTCGGAGTTGCGATGACAGTATCTAAGGTGTGTGATACCAATGTTAGCATCACCATCTCTGAGCACGTAGAACTGAATGCTTACAAAGGATTTATGCACTGAAGGAAGTAAACAAGTCTATGATATCAGTAGCTGCAATACATTTAACAGTTTTGTCCTAACATACCAGCATTGTCTTCAAGGATGCCATATTGATGACTGAGGAACTAGGCAGCTCAGGCCCAGGTTCCTGTGGGTCATAGCCATCGAGATCCGAGTTAGCGCTATTAGTTTGTTCTGGTGGGGGATAGTCATCGAGATCTGAGTTTGGTTGGTTAGTGTCCTTGTTCGTAGAATTGGGCTCGGGATTTTCATTGACAGGTCCATGCGGGTGTACTGACAGCTCAGTCAATGGTTGCGGTGATAGTTGCCAGATCATGCCTGGGTTTAATTGTGGTGTTGAAGGCTCCTCGCGGTGTTGGTACCTAGAAGAAAGATCTCCCTGAAATTGAAGCTAAGCAAATGAGAGTCAGAGAACAGATTACTTGAACACGGCGCACCTGAGATCCATGGCAATCCTCAACATCATCAAGTTCCATACTCGGATGTTCACCATCATGGTGGGTGGAAGACTCAGTCCGAACTCTCTTCGGAGCCAATTCAAGCGCACCTTCTTCACGATCTGCCAGTGAGATGACACGTTTTCCGATATTCTTTGAAGAATGGTGGTGGTGTCCATGTGCAGAACGATCCTGTCCTGAGCGACTAGTAGCCTTCTGCTTCTTGAGGGCTTTGCTATGCCATTGTGAGTAGTTGTTTGTAGCAATCCGCAGCACTTTCCAGTGACCTTTGCAGAACAAGAGCTCTGGGAAACTCTGATACATATGATGCAGGAAATAGCTTTTTGCCGAGGTACTGAGGTTGCCCCAAACAGCTGGTGCTAGATCTCTCTGTCACAGCTCGTTCCAGATTTCGCGTGCTTTGCTATGAATTGCGGAAGCCCGATGACCATCAATTATGTTGCCATTGATGTCACAGATATATCGCATAGCCACATTGATACCTTGGCTGGCATGAACATTGCCTTTGGTCTTCAGACGAAGTGCCGCAGCAGTCTTGGGATCATCCTTGTTAACGTCCATGTTGTCCTTGTCGCTGCTTTCTGAATCAACTTCAACATGAGTTTTGCCTTTTCATTTGGCCATGTGTGTCTTCCAGTCAGAGATAAACCAAAACTTGACATGCTTGTAGCGAGGATCTTTATGGTCCAGTTGGCTAGGTTCGGGGTATGGATCACCAGTGCTGTTTGCTGGTTGACTTGTAGCTCCTTGTTCACTGGTGGTACCGTTAGAGACGTGCGATTTGACGATTTGAAGAAGCTGAGTATATGCATATCTGGTCAAGATTGCATTGAGAGATATGAAGGGAAAATATTCAATGTGGTATGTACTTCAGACTTCTATTTGTTGCACTTGCTTCATGAAGTCGCAGTGTAGTCTCATTTAACCGCATCTTCAACTGCTTGACCTGAAACTGCAGTGATGCACTACTGTTGTATTGGGGCATGTCGGGGCTCAACCAGGCATTTATCTGGCTGTTAGTTACTGGGTTTGTTGTATGAAGGATCGAATTCGAGCTGGTGGCAATATTTGCAGTGGCAGGGTGATGGCTTGGCTGATAGGGAGTCCAGTCCGAACCGTTGTCATAGAAATCATCGTCTGAGCTCAAGCTCGGAAAACGTGGTAGCTCCAATGTGTAATTTGAGGATACTGATGGCATCCATGAAGAATGGCTAGAGAAACTCTGCAGAACATCATAGTTGTCAAAAGCCGAGTCTGATGACATCACATTCTGTGACAGGTAGAGATTTCCCGACAACATTGCTGGTGTGTGAAAGGAGAAGTGATTGTGTGATAGAGGAGGCCCAACTGAGGAAAGAGAGATGAAAAGAGAGAGAGGCAGTGTTTCTGACGTGTTTGACACATGATTTATATTGCTCACATGTTCAGCCAAAATACTATGAACTTGTATTTCTACACATTCTGCTCTTCTTCATTTATATCATCTGCCCACCTGTTAGCCACTAACTCTAATCGACTTAGATCGTACTAGGATCACTACTTACACTTCGGTAGACGATACTCTAGCAAGTCAAAGGCGACAAAAGTCGATGGGACAGATAGTCACGAAGTCGGAGTTCGATGTTAGGTAGATTAAACCTTAGCCGAAGCTGGGGTTTAGACCAGCTGAGGCTCTACTTAAATACAAATGAGTATGCTAAAAATAGTACTGTGGGAAATGATCCGCAGGGATCACATAGACGTAATCAGGCTGAGTAAAACGAAGAAAAATGAATAAATCGTAACATTACCCCCTCCCTAAGACTCGTTCGTCCCGAATGAGGCATTAGACTCGTCCCCATCCTCATAGGTCAATGAAGAATTTTGGGATTCGGAGTAGAATGAATGAACGTCGTCGTCGACATCGTTGTCATCATCTTCGTCTTTATCCCAGTTTTCTGCAACTTTTTGGAGATGGTTGACGTCAGTTTCGTCATCCGATGGGGGGTCAAGGAGAATCGGAGGGTCTTTATAAGGTCGGTTGTCCCATCGTGAGGCTTCAATCTCGGATTTCCTTCTCTTTAAGTAGGAATCCCATACCCGTGGTCCATATGTGTCCAGTTCTTGACGGTGTCGAGGGTAGGGCTGAAGGGGGCCTGCCTCACTAGGGTGGTCGTGCATATACTCCTGGTTCTTTTTCAAGAGTGCCCGATCCATTTCCTCAGAGATTTCGACCATCCGTTCTTTGTTGGACGACATAACGGATATTACCCCGACGCTTCGGCCTGCGCCTGACCCGGCTACTTCCCCTACCGCATTAAGTTCTTCGGAGTGACGAGAAGCCGTACACTGGGAGGAGGGAACGGTGATAATGTCAGTGACACACGGCGTGTCAGGATCATGATAATGGAGTGGAAGGTTTTCTGGTATCTTGTCGTCTCTCCTGACTGTTTTTCCCTTGTCATTAACTCTCCATATCATCTTTTGGACACGCGCCTCGAAGTCGTTTACGAGTTCTTCCGCGTTGGCCATGTCGGAATGTTTGACCCATGAGTTTTCTTCGATTGGGTATCCTTTCCACCGTACCAAGTATTCCATAATGGTTCGGCGGGTCTTCCCATGACCAATGATACGATCCCTCTCCTCGACAATTTCCTCGATCTTATATTCCTCTTCATCGTCAATTAAGTCTGGGGGCGGTTTTTCAGGGCGCGGTTGGTTTGGGAACTCGGGAGGATGGTATGGAGTTAACAACGACTCATTGAATCGGTTATGGATGCGCCATTTCACGGGGAGCTTGAGCTCGTATGCTGAAGCTCCTTTCTTGGCCGTGATTGCAAAAGGCCCTACGCGTCTGTTGTTACGATTTATTCTTTTCTTTTTTCTTTTCTTACGCATTGACGCTTACGCTATGCTGCTGCGGGACTGCGGTTCTGATCGGACGTTCTCACCATACTATTTTTAGTCTGTACCAACGTGTATTTAAGTAGAGCCTTAGCTGGACTAAACCCCAGCTTCGGCTAAGGTTTATTCTACCTAACATCGAACTCCGTTCTTCTGTCTAAGTGCCCCATCGACTTTCATCGCCTTCGACTTGTTGGAGTATCGTCTACCGAAGTGCGAGTAGCGATCCTAACACGATCTAAGTCGATTAGAGTTAGTGGCTAACATTTAGCCGAAGCTCGCTCTACGTTGCTCAGCGTCACTTCCGAGAAAGAACGCTGCCCAACTCGTTCCGAGAAAATTACCTCGCTTGACCAGAGAGGTCATCGCTTGCGCTCGCGTGGACAACCCGGTGCTTGTCAGCGCATAGCGAGTGGACCAACGGAAAAGCACTCACTTTCAAGATTCATCCGATACACTTCATCATTGCAGTAGTCCTTTGGGTAATCCCCTTCCGACTACTTCTCCTGTTGCTTGTGTTCGCCTTGATTTTTGAGTTCATCCTCTACGACGACCTTATCCTCGCAGTCTTTGTAACTGTAACCCTTACCTTCGCCCTAATCGGACTCGGAGTATCGGCAGTGTTGCTAGCAAGCCTGCTAGTCGCCCTGTATACGCTATATCCCCGTCTCGTTTAGGAACCACGTATCCCAACACGAAACCTTTCGTACTCGCCCTCCAGCTTGCATCGCTATTGACAATCATCTTGTTGATAGTAACAAGCTCCCCTGATTCCAACGAGTGTGAAATCTCGTTAATGAACGGTTCTAATTACGAAACCGACCTTAGCCTGATCATCGCGCTCTTGATCGTTCTTACCATTCTTGCGGTATACCAGCTTGCATGGTCAATCGTCGACTTGCGCCACGGATAGATCCCCTGACGAATGCCCTGGTCAGAATCCATTCTCGCCGTCTTCGCGACTTTTATACTCTTTTTCTTATCCATTACTTTGTACCAACTTCGCCGTTGTTGCCAGCGGAGACGAATCCGCGCACGACTTCCCATCCATTACATTCCTCACACCCCGGCATACCCGCCGCCGGTAATCGATATTCCCTCGGCCTCTCAACAGACAATCGGAGATGTCGAGTCCAACGCCTCCGGACAACCTGGAGGATCCCTCTACACATCGTCGCGACCCAGCTCGCGATCCTCCGAGTCGAGCACCGACTCCTACAGAAGCGCTTCCAGCGCACCAACAGAATCCGTCGACATCACAGATACCGGGCGGGTACTCCTCGAGCGAGGAGACACGCCCCTACCAGGTCTCTTCGACATCTCTCCAGTCCAAGGCGAGTCAAGCGACGCAGGAAGCCGAGGACAAGACACCAGGCATCTGGTCACGGGCGAAGAAACGCCTAACACTGAGTTCGAAGGGGACGAGCTCACCGAGTGGGAACGAACCCGACTCGACGACCTCCTCGACGACCTCTACCCGAATGAGGAAGAAGATGCAACCCATACCGGAGACCACTACAACGGCCGGTCTGGGAACAAGTGGACAGACGCCGTCTGGAAGAGTGAAAGTAGGAGATACCGAGTCGCCCAGGAAGACGACTTCGACAGCGATTCCGGAGAGCTTGGCCTCGGAGCCTCCGCGGCTTCCACCAGTACAACTCAGCCACAGCCTCTTCCAAGGTCCTGGCCAACCGATCGAGGGCCCCCGGTCGCCTGGTACCCCAACACCAGTTGGGTCTACGCCGACGACGGGGAAGAGGCTCCTGTGGCCGGAGAGCAGGCCAGACGAGAGTCCAACCCGGTCGCTGCAAGGACCGAGGCCCCAGCGATCCCTTCCACAGACGCCACGCACGAGCAGACGAGTAGGGAGCTTTGGAGCGAGTTCCCAGACCTCGATCAAGAGGAACTTGGAACAGTTACCGCCGCCGAGCGCCTCGCCGGAGTCTCCAATTGGGAGGCGTCCGTCCCGTCGCGAGCCTTCGCGGACCCCGTCCCCCTCGCCCAGCGCCCGTGGCCGCTTCTCTACCACACGTACATCGAGTCCCTCGGACTCCCTCGAAATGTCCGGGAGTCCCCAGAAGTCCAGGCCCGAATGGACCGAGGCCGAGCGCATGATGCACGCATCCGACGCGCCGAGGAAGACGCCCTCTATGGACCCGACGGCTTCTGGGACCTACCCCTTGAGCCCGACGCCACTCCCGCAGAAGTGGACAACCGAATACGAGCGGCCGCCGTCCGCTACACAGGGTATGCCCGAAGGGCCGGGACCGATCTCGAAGCCAGAGCCCGAGCATGGAGAGTCTACCAGGAGGAGATCTCCAACGAGGACTCCGACATCGGGCGGTGGCGGAGAAACAAGGAAATCGACCGAATCGCCAGAGAGAGGAAGGAGGCAGAGGATGCCAAGTCGGCCTCCAAACCAGGCCCTGGAACCGACGGTAATGGCGGCGGTGAAGCAGGTCCTTCTTCAGGGC